CCTCAAAGATACCATCCCCCAAAACTCCCTAATTCATATTATCTAGCTTTGTTGGAACATCTGGAAGGCAAGAAATGAGTGCACGTTCAAGAATCGAATACCCTGGACCCCAAACGTTTGTCTGCAAACCTATAGAGAGGTTACGGAATGGATTGCTTGCCCGAGGCCCCCACCTCAAGGTTCTGATGGTCCCACTCAGCTCAGGGGATCCCATCCTACTACGAATCCACCGCCAAGTAGTCACTCGATTGTGATTCAATGTGATGGGTCGTTCTTTAGCGACCCCCAGTCGGCTACATATGGTGTTGTTGTTGTTAACCACCATGGACAAGTGTGTGATGGGAGAGCTGAAAATCTTCTTTGTTCCACCCCGATGGAAGCGGAAGCTAAGGCACTTTTGGAAGGAATTAAATTAGCACAAGAATATGGATCGGTATGTACAGTTCAATCTGACTGTCAAATGCTGGTGAAGGCCCTGAATCACAATCAGTCTCGATGGCCCTGGAGATGCGCAGCCTGGATTAGAACAATGGTCAATATCCTGAGGAATAAACCAGCTATTTCGGTGAAAGAGGTTCCGAGGACTTTGAACGTCAGAGCTGATTGGGTTGCACGATCAAAAGCTAAATCTATTCAGCCAGAATACTGGATTAATATTCTTGATCTAATTTCTGTTCTCCTCTAGAATTGTAATAGCTTTAGCGTGAAAGTTGTTATGGCGGAATAAAAGTTGACTTGTTTTGTAAAAAAAAAAAAAATCTAAAAAAGGGCTAAGAAACAATTTATTTATTTTTATACCATCCAAATGTTCCTTTTTCTTCTTCTTCTTCCAAATAGTTTTCTACTTTGTCTTGGGATGGACTTGACGTATCCTTATACATGACACGTGAAGTTTTTCCTCAAGTCACGTGCCATCCTGGGCAGCAAGGGACAAACCCAAAGGACCCCATGGCCAAAAGCACCCACCACCACCAGGAAGCAGCAGCAGAAGCAGAAAACAAAAGAGATGGGGGAAAAAAGGGAAAACTCAACAGTAAAATAAAGGGTAGCTTTTATATATAAAAAAGAATATTTATTTAATTGCATAAAAAATATTATTATTTTTACATATTATACGTGGCTGTGGGAAGGTGCCTAGCTACGTATATAATTTGGGGTTTTGGTTTTGGCCTTTGGTTGTCTCCCAAGTCGAGTCCCAATTGAAGCCTAGGGTTTAGGGGTTGGTTTTGTTTGTATAATGAGACCAAAAGATCATTGCACGACAAAGATACTCTACTAGTAATGGTCTCAAGAAAACAAAAGGACAAAGATATATTCTAACCAAATATACCTGGCTGCTAGCTAGCTACATGTTTTGTTTTCTGTTCCTTTTCCTTTTCCTTTCTACCACCGTTTCCACCTTTCTTCTTCATTTCTATCACTATTAGTTTCATAATAATTATTAGTGTTGAAAATTTAGATCTTGTTTTCTACCAGGGTAAATGCATGCAAGTTAAACTGCTGTTTAGGGGCACTTAGCTTCTTCAATTTGGGGTCGTCTTCCCCCTTTTTCCTTTGGCTGCCTTTTTGGGGTTTAGCTAACTTGGCTAACTACCGGTCAAATAAAGAAGCTAGCCAACAAAGCATGGTTGATATAATAAAGGGTTATAGGTAGAGCACTTCTACTATGCTATATAGTATTGGTACTTTAATGTACAACTTAAAGTTGTACCATAACATTAAATGTATAAGTTTAGGTTGTACCATAAAGCAATTTGTACCATTATGTTATGGTACAACTTTACAACTTGAAGTTGTACCATCACATAAAAGTACAAGTTCAAGTTGTACCATAAAAGAATTTGTACAAAAAGTATAGGTACAATCTGAAGTTGTACCATAACGTAAATGTACAATTTTAAGTTGTACCATAAAGGCAAAATCCTATAGCACCAATACTATATAGCATTGTAAAATTTCTCGTTATAGGTATTATATGTCCCTCTACTATAACGTTTTATCAAATACGCTCCTCTACTATTTTTTACATCAAACATGCCCCTGTATTTTGGAAAACTTATCAAACATGCCATTTTGTTAAAATTTTCATTCAAAAACCGTTAACCAAGACCGAACTTTGGTTTGGACGACCAAAATATCTAAAATATCCCTAATAATTTCACTTTGGATTTTTTTGTTCTTTTGTATAGCCAAATAATTCTAATAATTTCACTTTGACGAGACCTAGAGAAATAAAACAAGGGTCAAAACTGATATTTACCCTCCCATTTATCGATGTCAGGTCGTCTAAATCTCGGTGCAACCATGATTGTCGATTTTTTTCAATGGAAATTTCAACTGAAGGGCATGTTTGACAATTTTTCCAATTACAGGGGCATGTTTGATGTAAAAAATAGTAGCGGGACATGTTTGATAAAACGTCATAGTAGAGGGCATATTATACCTATAACCCTATAATAAATATTCGGTACTTAGGTTACTTGTAATTATAGGTTGTTGTCATTATTGTCCTTTTGTACCTAATTATGCAAGTGAATGGGTGGAAGAGAACAATACTAACATTCGAACTATCGATTCGCACAAATACAATTTCCTCTTAGTAGAATGCAAAAAAAAAAAAAAAAATGAATATGGAATAAGGGTTCCTTAGTAACTTGATGAATAGGACTGTCCCTCTAGGTAGAGGGTAATGCAGAAACTCACAAGTCATGGTAACTGTAGATAGGGGTAAATGAAGTGAATGGTGGAGGATCGTGAGATTTACTCGAAGTAGGAAAAGGCAAAGGTTCGTGCATTTCCACCCTCTGCCCCTTTCACCAGAAGCCTGAAAGAAAAGAGCAAATAATGGATATGGAAATGGAAGCATAAATAGAAGCAACCAAACCATTGATGGAAACATTTCAAACTCGATCTCCACTTTCCCACCCACATATTCCATATACCCTTCTTATTCACTGTTCACTGTTTCTTCTCTTCTCTTCTTCCCATGTACATATTTCGCTTTCAGTAGCTTGTTTGTTATGTATAAAATTACAACTTTCGTTTGTTTGGGTTTGTTTTTCTTGTTTCTGTACTCTTCTTCTGATGATTTTTTTTATATATTGTTTACGTCTGTTCTCTCAAGGTGGAAAAGGAAAAAAACATTTGTTGCTTTGCTTCCACCGACTAGCACTGAGTACCTGACACTTCATGGAACCCAAAAACGAGAGAGAATTATTTATGTTTTTTTTTTAATTTTGAATATTGGGAACTTAATAATAACATAAAGAAGGATATGGTCAAGCCAGGAAATGATTACCTTCTTTTCCCTCACCTTCTAATCTCTCTACCTGTTGACAATTATGTGGGTAATGATACTCCTAATTATGGTTTTATTGTAACCCTCCATTGTGATTGATAATGCGGTACAAGTAATAACTAATAATGGTGCTATCAAGCTAGCTAGCAAATGTAACAATCCTGCTCTCTTTCTATTTCACTTTCCCTAACAGATGAGAAATGGGGTTGTTTTAATTGCACTAATTTGGTTAGGACTTAGGATTTGAAAGGAGAGCAATGTGATATAAGTCATATAACCCGCCTTAGGGATAGATATCGAGAAGAGAATTGAGAGATTAGGGATTATAAAGAATTAGGAATTGAGAGGATAAAATTAGGAAGGATTGGGAAAGAAAGAAAGACTCAGAGAATGAGAGGTTGGCCTAGAGAGAGGGAGGACGAAGAGAAGGAGAGTGATGAAGAGGAAGAATTCGGCCAAAATAGTGGCTAGTGAGAGAGAACAACAAGAGTTTAGGGAATAATTTTTCTGTATTTGCTTAACAAATTTTGACACACAAATTCAAAATATCTAGACCTAATTAATTCCCTTAAGGTTTAAACTATCCATAAATAATCTCATCAACTACTGAAATACCACGTAATTTTTAGATTACCCTAAAGGTATCCAAATGATCAAAAATAACAAAACACCATAACCTAGTGATGTCAATGGGGCGGGTACCTCAATACCCATGTCTCACCCAACGCTACTTTGGGTCGGGACGGGGCGGGTCGACCCACTCTTACATGTTATTTGAAAAAAAATACACGCAAAAACTTACTTTTATCATAAAATGAAGGGAAAAATACTTTGTGAATGAAAAATAGTGATGATAAAATGAGTAATTGAGTGTAACTAGTTGAAAGATCGGGTCTAACCAGTTGAATAAAAGTCAAAATAGGAGAAAAATGAATAGATATGGTAATCAATTGAGATGGAATGGGCCAAAAACGAGACAGGGTGTAGCAGAACGAGTCTGGAGTAGATATTCATGCCTTGCTCCATGGCGGACCAGGTCGGATAATACCCGCGAAACGAGTTCAAATGATCATCACAATAACCCATAAATACGAAGGGGATTGCAGAGACTGAACATTAATTTTGACTGCAAAAATTTACTTCCTTCTAAAGAAGAAGGAAACATTAATTTGGCTGCAGTGGAAGGAGGGAGAGAGATGGCCTGAGCAATATATATAACACCTTTCTTTCCCTCCCCTTCTCTTGTCAACAGCTTTTCCTGCCCTTCCAATGGGCAGTGGATAGAACAAGCAAAAATCCACCCCACTCTCTCATAACATTGCACAGAAGAACAAACCCAACCTCTCTCTCTCTCTCTCTCTCTCTCTCTCTCTCTCTCTCTCTCTCTCTCTCTCTCTCTCTCTCTCTCTCTCTCTCTCTTCCTACTGCCCCAACCATTAATGCAACTGAAACACTTACAGAATACAGATATCAGAGTCAGGTAGAGCAGAGGAGAGTAAATACCAAAGAGCAATGAATTTATGATTATTGCACCAAATAAAATGCAAAACACTGGACGGATGACGATACATATAACATATATTGTTTTGGATAATACGTCTCGTAGGCATTAACGTAACTCATGGCTAGCTTATTAGCTTGGACTGGAGTATAGCGGATGTCTTTTGATAATGAGGGGAAACAAACAACACTACACAGCTTAAAAGAAAAGTCGCATATATTTCTGTACACAAAAGAAAAAGAAAAAGAAGCCATCCACATTTTTTGCTTTTTCCACTAAAGCAACCACCGTGATCGATCGGATGACAATCTACGATCATCATCATCATCCTCACCAAAACATTAACAAACAAAACAAAAAAGAGGAACCCGATCGAATTTAGAAGAGATCTCAATATAATCTCATGATCATCTACAGCATATTAATTAGCTCGGGTTCTAAGAAAGATTCTGCACCAAAAACCCATCATCACCATCATCATCATACTGAACTAATCAAATTAACACTCATCAAAGGGAATCTAACTAACTAACTAACTAACTAACTAACTAACTCACTAACTTAACAAGCGGAAGGAGGCATGAGATTAAACCCTAAATCATCCTTCTCCAACACCAACCGTTGCACCGCCTTGCCATTCTCCACATAGTACTGGTCCGGGTGCACCCTCTTCTTCGAGATCGGCACCCCGAACAGCTTCGTCGTCCTGCCGCATGAACCATTCTCAACGCCGTCGTTTTTGTTGCCGGGGATCTCCTCCAAGATCGTCACCGTGCTCTGCGAGTTCCCGCTGTTGCTGTAGCTGGGTGACGTTCTGCCGGTAGTAGTAGTAGCGTTGTTACTATTGTAGCCAAGCTGCAGCTGGTTCCACGGCTTCAGATGGTGGTGGTGGGAGGAAACGGCGCCGTTGGAATGAAAGGGCGGGAACGGCGTCGTATGGTGGTTGCTGGGAGGTGCGACGGGCTTGACGTGGTTCTGGACGAAGTAGATGATGTCGTTGTACAGCTTCTTCATGTGGGCCAGCTCCGACATCAGCATGTTGTTGCTCCGACGCAGCCGCTCGTTGTCCTGCGCCAGCGCCGTCACCGTGTTCCCGGCCGGCGGCGGCGGAGTGGAGTCCCAGTAGCTATGGTTGTGATTGTGGTGGGAGGGGAAGAGGTGGTTGTCGTCTTCGTCGTCGATCCGGTCGGAGAAAGGGAAGAATCCGGCGAGGTGGTGGTGGTGCGACGGCGGGGGAGGAGGAGGTGGTGGGTGAGCTGTCTTGCGGCGGTGGATTTCGCAGAGGAGGTGCTTTTCGCCCTTTTTGAAGAAGTCGTTGGCGAATTCCCATCTGTCCGGTACGATCTTCCTAAAACCCTACACCACCGAGGGGGAAAAAAAACATCATTAAAAGGAACAAAAAAAAAAAAAAAAACAGAACATACCATAGGATTCAAAGAGAAGAATATGATGGAATATTGGAGGAAGCTTTAATTACATAGGTGTTGAGCTGTCGGACGAAGGAGGAGAAGTTGTTGTGCTTGAAGTAGTTGGGGAGGAGGTCACGTGCGAATTCCGGAGGGCGCCAGACGACGAAGGTGGAGTCGTCCTCTCCCCAGGAGACGACGTGGTCGGTGGAAGGGTCGTCGACCAGCTGGTAGGTCTTGGTCAGGAACGGCGCCGGGACGGACTTGTGGTTGTCTAGCGACAGGAGTAGCCCCTGCTGGTCGGCGGCGAACGGTGGGCTTTCGAGCATGAGCGCCATTTTTATGGGGTTTTAATGATTGTGAAGGAAGTGGGAAGAGATCAGAGTATATATGTGGGGAAGATTGGAATGGGATCTTCTCCTTCTCCTTCTCCTTGTTCTAGTTCTGTTTTGGCTGTGATAGGCGAAGGAGGAGAGCAGAGAGAGAGAGAGAGAGAGAGAGAGAGAGAGAGAGAGAGAAAGGGAGTAAGTGAGTGAGGGTGGAAATGAAATGAAATGAAATGTGGGGGAAAGATGGAGGGAGGGAGGGGATAAAAATGGTGTCAAAACTGAAGGGTGGCTACAGCTGCTAGCTACTGCGTACTGTACTATATGTATACACGCTGTGTTATTTAACTTGGCTGAACGAGAGTAATTATTAATTAATAATTACTTTCATAAATATTAGTTTTAATCATTAAGGTGTGATTAGGATGATAATTGAGGCCAAACCCCTGATAACACAAAGCGGGTAAAATTCATTGTTGAGAGATTTCGGATGGATTGGGTTTTACCCGCTTTTGATATTGGTGATTTGGGTTTTGATTTAGCCAAAACTCAATCCGCTTGCTTTCCATTTGAACCGCACCCACACACCAAAATGACGTTAGTTTGTATCTAAAATGAAAATTATGGATAATTCATGGATGATACTGGTCTCTATGATAGTATAAGCCTAATCATATAGATTATTTATTAATGTTATTAGTCTTTTATAGAGATATAGTGGTAGAAAATTTTAAATAGTATTACAATGTGAGTTTTCGGATAAATAGTGTATAATTATGTTCGTGAATTCATAGGTACTCTTTGTGTTGGATTGAGTTTGATTTGCTCTTCCAAAACTCAATGGGTGTTCTAGTGAACTTTTTTTTTAATGGATGTACTCAGTTGAGTTGGATGTTCTGTTAATATACATAAGCATGAGTACCAAAAATCCTGTGTATTATTCATATATATACTTTCTCCCCAACAACACAAACCTTTAATAGCTAACTAAAGCTGAAGTATAGCTAGTGTAGTTTGGTTTAGTGGCACATTTAGTGAGATGACAACATAGAGAAAGGGGAGGGGAAGACGTCAAAACTGGTTTTGTTTTGAAATCGGTGTGTTTGGGTTTTTGGAAGTGTCCTCCTCGACCTCGGTTCTGGTGTGGAGTCTGAAATAATAAGGGCATTTCAAGACAAACCCGTGACCACACTTCTTCTCTCTTCCTCTGGCTGCCCCTTCTATTTTCTTCTCACCTTACTTCTGGCCTCTGCCAAGTTAAATATATATATTCATTCACTTCCTTCACATATAATTTACATTTTTCATTACTCTGACAAATCGATCCCTCGCGCGCACACCCACTTGAACTAAAGAAAATACAAGCAAATGAAAACAATTGCAGAAGCAGCAGAAAGCAGAAGCCTGTGTGGGGAAGAAGAAGAAGAAGGAAAGAAGAAGAAGCTCAACCAGGCAGAGGAAAGGAAAGAAGCATTTGTGCTGGCTTTTGGGACTTGACTTGTTTTGTAACATTTATGTACGTATTTCAGGAGTCAACACTTAGGTATACCAAATTACCAATTGTGTACAAAGTCTAAATGACATTTTCCCACTGTCTGTCTTTCCCCCCGGCCAGTCCCTCCTTTTGGTAGTTCCTTTATTACCCCATAAAGACGTTACTACCACCACAGTCCCACCACCATTACTTTCCCCAGACTACCAAATATTAGTAATTCCCACTTTGGTACCCATATTTTCCCCTGTCTTCTATCCAAGTCCAAAGGATGATGCTTTTCCAAGAGTGTATGGTCAAGGAACTGTGGTTGGTGCAAAAACAAAGGGTGCATGGAAGAAGAAGAAGAAGAAGAAGAAGAAGAAGTAGAAGGTGGGGATCCATGTGCGGGTTTTCGAGTTTCTTCCTTTCGTTTTTTGTTTTTGTAGTTTAGCTTTTGTTGTTTGTAGATATAAGATATCTCATTTGTATATAATAGGGAGCTTAATTAGATGGGGGAAACACGAACATACACAGTTCCCGATTTCGAATCATTTCTTCCATCTCTCTGTCTCTCTCTACATGTGTGTCTAGCTAGCTACATGGAGAACTCAAACCAAAAGGCATATATGTTATGTGTTAAGCATGGAACTACGTGCACTTAGCTTTGCTAGATCAGGGATTTAATGATTAACTAACCAAACCCACTGTTTTAGTTTTTACTTATTTTGATTTTATTTAACTACCTCCTCCTTGTTGTTGTTCACTTTTTTCCTTCTAGTAGTACTCCTAAGTTTCATGACTAATAATGTGATTCATGAACCATAATACATAATCCATGTCTTATCATTCTTGATACAAATCATACAATCTCCTGATGATCGTATTAGAATGATATGATTCATATTAGCAATGATAAGACATGAGATTTTGAATTTTTAAGTTTTGAGTTTTGTACTCTATCATTTCCCTTCAACTACAATTCTTAGATGGAAGTATTAGTAAGTATATTCTTGCTAAAACATCTTGCTAGCTTAAATATATCTACACTATTATCTTCATGAACATTGATTATCCACAATACTATTACATCGATCGCTAATAAACGCTCTGGTTTTCATTTTGTTTTCCTTCCAAACTTGTCCCTGCTAATATGTGCCTCAACTCATTATTATCTTCATCAATTTTTTGGACGACTTGATTATGTGTTAGAGTGTCGAATTATTGAGGCCTGAAATATTTATTATTGATTTTGGCCTCTTTTAGGTGTTTCTTATTAAACATTTTCTTTTTTTGTACTTGACAAAGATTGCAAAAATGCCCGCATTAATTACTCTCTGTTCCCGATTAATATTCACCTATACATTTCCCATGCATCTCTTTTTATTCTTTGGCCTTGAGGCATGGAATTTTATGCCCTGTCTTTTTTGGGGCTCCTAAACAATTAAATGTTAAAAGTGCCTTGATATGTGGTGCCCTAAAGCTAGATAGTTCTCTTTTTCACATTTACAAATGTAAAAAATGATTAATAATTGTGATTAATAAAGAAAAGAAAACCTTAAGCTCTGGGTGACTTTTTCTGATAATGATCAGTAAAAAAAGAGTGTGTAAAAAGTTGAGGTCCCAAAAGTTTAAACTATAGGAGAAAGGGCGAGAAAGGAAATAAAGAGAAATTAAAATGATGAGCAATAATGTCAATGAGATACACCAACTGATTGTTCTAATCATGCCCCATGATTCTCATTGTTGGGATATACACAAAGCTAGAAAAAGTGCAAAACTTTGGTATTTGGTAAAATTTTTGCATGTTTTACTATATGTGAGGGCAATTAACTTCAAATATATGTTTGATCTCCTTGTTTGTTTTATCAAATAATAAAATAATCAGTAACACTATTTTGTTCTGATGGCTAGGGCGCCATTTATAAGTGTTTTAATTTTGTTATTACGCCATACTGATTTTCAGTATTGTTGTTTCCCAATATTTGTGGCCTGACCTTGATATCTGTTGACCAGTACATTATTTCGATCATTTTCCTCCACTTGTAGATGATGTATTTTTTTCGGATACACTTTTTTTATGTGTTTCCTACTCTATGCTATATGCTCTTCGTTTTTACTTGCTAGTTACCCTAGTGTGAGACTTGGTACGTGCTCGCAGAGACTTGTCGCTTGTTATATATAAGAGTCCATGAATTGGCAGATAGTCGATTGATATTCTTTTTCCTTTCAACAAGCTCCTGATCGACTTGAGATGTGAACTGTTCCAAGTAGCTTGATTCAATCGGGTGCAACAACTATAGGTTTCTTATAAGATATGTATATAGGTATATGTTCGATCACCTCTATTATATATACAAAAGTAGCTGACCCCAAACCAATAAACAGACTATGTCTCATCGATCACATGCAGTACTTATAAAGAATTAAGGTGGCCTAATATTGTACTCATCAAAAGGATCGATCTGAGGCAGAGAGCTCATATATACACAAGTAAGTGGTCATGTGATATGAGAAAAGAGGAAAATTAAAGAAGGTGACCATAGAAACTGGCAAGAATTGCAGCTCTGTGTCAGATTCGACTCCCCAATAATTAATATTTCAATTCCAAAACTTCAATTGAGAATTCATATGAAAATAAATAAGAGAAGGTAGCAACTCTGTGCTCCTTCTGATGGGTTGGTTTTTTTTTTTTTTTTTTGCACCTAAAAGAAGGTGGTCTCATATTTCCTTTCATTTCTCTCTCTGGTTCTCACGTTCATTATCGCCATAGATACAACAACCCCAAGCTCACTGTACTGGAGCCTGCTGAGGCTTTGCAGCGGCTGACATGGAAATTGTCCTTTGTATTCTTATATATATATATATATGTGTTGTACAATGCAGCTGTGTGGTGTGGGAAAAAAGGGCCTTTTGCCATTCTCGTGATGCCAATTTTGTTCTCTTTTGATGAGTATTTCATGTTTGCACTGCAAATTGCAAAGCCATTCCCATCCACTTAAGTACTTCGTGTTACCCTGCATATTTCTAGGAATTCATCTATATAAAGTTCTTCCAATTAATCTCCCTGAAAAAATAGAAAACAAAAAAAAAAAGGTTTGATTACCTCTTTGCATCCAATAGCACGCACGCTCATCCTAGTTGATATACGGGGCGATATATAAGTGCATACTAACGTTGTTGGATTGTTGCTCACATGTCTCCAAATTGTTGGATCGATTTTGTGAATGATTGAAAACATTGTGTCATTCAATTATGTTCGTTGTTAGAATATGACTTGAATTTGATTTGGGTTTGTTTTGTGTTTGGGCCTATTTTGTTTGAGTTTGTGTTTGGGCTTTGTTTGACCTTTTCCTTGTATGTTTGGGGAAAGGTGTTTGGTTTTCTGTTTGAGATTAGGAGAAGAGTTCTATAAATATTCTTCATCAACCTACTCTGTAGTAGGGGTCAGTCAGGGGTTAGTTTGTTTGGTTGGTCCATTTAGAATTTGGTTTGTAACCTGTACTCTCCTCGAAATCAGTGAAATTTGTTCTCCCTTGCCCGTGGATTAGCTAGCACACATTGTGTTAGTGAACCACGTTAAATTTGTGGTAGTTCGTGTTGGTTTGGATTATCGATTGCACGCTTCTGTTCTGACAAGTGGTATCAGAGCTTGGTCAATCGGCTGGGCAATCGGCTTGGGATTTTGGTAACTGCTGCGGTATCAGGAGGCAGTCTTCGATTTGGTTGGCGGAGAAGCCTTTAGTTTTTCTTCCTCCAAATTTGGTTTGCAGTGGTTCGTGGTCTTTTGTCCCAATTTGGATTTGTGCGGGGGTCGATTTGAGGAA